ACAATACACAGTGGGAAAAATACAAGTCTCTTTAGCAAGTGGTGCTGGGAAAAGTTGGACAGCAGCATGCAAATCAATGAATTTAGAACACACCCTCACATCATACACACAAATAAACTCAAAATGGCTTAAAGACTTGAACCTAAGACATGACACCATAAAACTCCTAGAAGTTTTAAACATAGGTAAACATCCCCTGACATAAATTTTAACAATGTTTTCTTGGGTCAGTGTCCAAAAAAAAAACAGAAATAAAAAAGCAAAAGTAAATAAATGGGACCTAATTAAATTTATAAGTTTTACACAACAAAGGAAACCATAAATAAAACAAAAGGCGACCAACAGACTGGGAGAAAATATTTGCAAATTATGTAACCAACAAGGACTTAATTCCCAAAATATACAACCAGCTTATACAACTCAATAAAAAAAAAAAAACTCAATTAAAAAATGGGCTTGAAAACCTAAATAGGCATTTCTCCAAAGAAGACATGCAGATGGCCAACAGGCACATGAAAAGATGCTCATCATCACTAATTATTAGAGAAATGCAAATCAAAACCACAATGAAGTACCACCCTCACACCAGTCAGAATGGCCATCATCAAAAAGCCTACAAATAACAAGTGCTGGAGGGGATGTGGAGAAAAAGAAAGCCTCCTACACTGTTGGTGGGAAATCAAAACTGATGCAGCCACTATGGAAAATAGTATGGAGGTTCCTCAAAAAAACTAAAACCAGAGTTGCCATATGATCCAGCAATCCCACTCCTGGACATGCATCTAGACAAAACTATAACTGGGAAAAAATACATGCACCCCTAAATTCATAGCAGCACTATTTATAATACCAAGACATGGAAACAATCTAAATGTCAATGGACAAATAAATGGATAAAAATGTGTGAATATACAATGGAATATTACTCAGCTATAAAAAGAATGAAATAATGCCATTTGCAGCAACATGGATGGAGTAAGAGACCATCATACTTAAGTAAACAAAGAAAGAGAATAACAAATACCACACGCTATCACTTATATGTGGAATCTAAACTAAGACTCACATGAATATAGCTACGAAACAGAAACAGACTCACAGACCTAGAGAACAGACTTGCGGTTGCCAAGGGAGAGGGGAAGTGGGGGAGGGAATGGTTGGGAGCTTGGGATTAGCAGATGCAAACTATTATAGATGGCTAGATAAACAACAAGGTCCTATTGTACAGCACATGGACCTATATTCAATATCCTGTGATAAACGATAATGGAAAAGCATATATGTATGTATAACTGAATCATTTTGCTGTATAATAAAAAATAAAACATAAACCAACTATGTCAATAAAATTTAAAAATATACGATTATAAAAAATGCACATACCTATCAACAGAGCCTCAAATATATGAAGCAAAAAATGACACAGTTCAAGTGGCTCTACAATAAGAATTGGAGATGTCAACAGACGACAATAAAGGACAAAAGAACCAAAAAGGAGACTGATAAGGAATACTATAAAACAAATAGACCTAACAGCCATATTCAGAATATTCACCCAACAGGGAACAGAGTACCCATTCTTCTAAGGGAAACACAAACATTCTCTAAGAAAGACCACATGATAGGTCACAAAACAAGTCTTAAACTTTCTCACAAGATTGGAAAAAATACTTCGTGTGGTTTCAATCCAATGAAATAAAACTAGAAACCAACAACAGAAGGCAAAATGGAAAATTAACACACACATGGAAATTTAACAAAACAATGAATGGGTCAAAGTAGAAATTATAAAGGAAACTAAAAAATACCTTGAGATCAACAAAAATGAAGACACAACAGATCAAAATTCACAGGATGCAAAGAAACCAATGCTAAGAGATTTATACCTGTAAACACCTACATTTAAAAAAAAAATCTCAAATCATAACCTAATTATATGCTTTAAGAAACTTGAAAAAGTGTAATAAACTACATCCAAAGCTACCAGAAGGAAGGAGTAACAAAGATTAGAGTAGAAATAAGCACAACAGACACAAGAAAAACAGCAGAAAACAACCAACAGAATTAAAAGGTTGGTTCCCTAAGAAGACCAACAAAACTGGTAAGCCTTCACCTACACTGGCAAAGAAAAAAGAGAAAGAAGACTCAAATGACTAAAACCATAAATAAAAACAGAGATGCCTTTATATATTCACACATAGAACCTAAAATATGAAGTAAACCTGAAGAGGAAGAATAAAAACCCGAATCTTAAATAAGAAGCATAGTAATTAAAAAATTAAAATGAGGTAATACTACTTATTTTACAGAAATAGGAATATAAAAGAATACTATGAACAGTTAAATGCCAACAAACCTGATAAGCTAGATGGACAAATTCCTGGAAACATATGGACTACTAAAACTGAAACAAGAAGAAACAGAAAATCTGTGTAGACCTAGAACAAGTAAGATTTAATTAATAATCCAAAACTTTCTAAATAATAAAAAGCCCAGAACAGATGGCTTCACAGATGAATTCTACCAAACATTCAAAGAAGAATTAACACTAATTCTTAAGCTCTTTTGAACCAGTGCAGAGGAAGGAATAACATCTATGAGGCCAGCCAGACAGACACCAAAAGAAAACAGGTATGTCTCAACAGCAAACAAAACTTACGGTCACATAAAAACCTGTAGAAAAACGTATACAGCAACTCCGTTTGTAACAGCCGAAAATGGAAGCAAACCCAAACGTCTTTCAATGGATAAACAGAAAACCTGTGCTACATGAATGTAATGGAACACTACTCAGCATAAAGTAGTGTTTATACTACTACCTTTTCATACACAGAACAAACTGGATGAGGAGTTATGGTAAGTGAAAGTAAGCTTCAGAAGGTTATCTAGTGTGTGATTCCACTTAAATGGCATTCTGGAAAAGGTGATAGGACAGATCAGGGATAGAGATAGTATATGACCACAAAAAGGAAAACACAAGAGAGTTTTCAGTGTGGTCCTGTGTCCTGACTATGGTATATCCTGTATCCTATTCTGCTTCCTGATTGCAGTGCTGGTTCAACAAATCTTTAATTACAATTAGTTGTAATAGAACAGTATACCAAATAAAATGCCAACTTCACTCTAATCATTTAAAAAATTAGAAAACTAAAAAAGCTGCTCATATTCATGTTAAATGACAAAATGCCAGACATGAGCAAAAGGGTAAGGTACTGGGCTTGCCATCTATCTCTTAGAAGTCATCTTCCTCTGAGTTAAGCCTCTGAATCCTCTTACTGTTGTTGTGTTAAACCCATTTTGTCCTTTATTTTTACTACTTTTTAAACATTCAATGACCTCCCTTCACCTTCCCCCACTACCCGGTTGACCCTGAGGTAAGTATGTTTAACCTGTTATATTTCTTCTGCCTTAAGAAAAATAAAGTACCTTTCCTTAATAAATGTTAAGTACAATAATATGCCTAAACAATTTCTTCAGTTATTATAAATTACTATACTATGTGAAGAAAACAACAATTTAGAATTCATTTACCAAAACAGATTCTCAAACATAATTTTATATATATATTCCAAAAAATATTTTAGATAAATATTGATCCCAAAAGTCATTGCTTTGGTCACTTCCTAAAACTGTATTTAACACTGGAAAGTGATTTACAAAAAAATATTTTGCTATTCCAGAGCTCTAGTCTATTAAAAGCATTCTTTCATTAATATAAGTCAAAATGATCCTAAAGATTTCTTGGCTGAAATTTCCAAATGAAAATCAAAGTGAACAAATTTCAAAAGATGAACTGATTTCATATCAGCAGTTTCCCCAGGAAATAAAGCAAGCCTTCACCATTAAGAAAGACCTTTAAAGAATTATACCCATTCTCTTGGCTCTAATAAACATGACTTACTTTAATATAGTAATGCCAAAAGAATTATCACTGCCAGGAATTATACACAGGCCAAACAATAAGATTCTGATTAGTGTCACAAAAGATCAAAACATTTATCAATTATAAACTTACAGGCATTGACTTGCATTTAGAGTCTCCAAATATATATTCCAGAATTTCACTGAGTAAATGAGTTCTCCAACTAGTACCCACTCATATGTAAGTGAAATAATTTCAGCCTAAGAAAACTCAGCTGTTTTCTATCTACATGACCTCATTTAAACAGAAGGAGCCTCAAAAATTTGTTTTCAGAGACACATATAAGTAGAAGAGTAAAAAGCAGGTCTGGGTGACTGGGTGACATTATGCTATCAATTTAAGCATGCTATTACAGAAATAAAAACATGTATTAGATATTAAACAGATCTAATATTAAAATGCAACTAAGTTACAACCCAAGTGAATCAATCCAACTAAAAAATATATGTATGGATTATATATAAACCAACAAACACTATCTAAGGAAAACTAGAACGACCTCAATGAAATGAGGCAGAAACCTCAAACCATTTAAGAGTGATGTTGTAGACAGCATTTCTCCACACCTGGTCTTTTCTTCTGTAAAATGGAAATATGAGTTCTTCAAAATCAAAACACACATTTAAGAATTGTTTCTACTTCGCAAATAGGTATTTATCCTAGTCCAATAACTAGGAAGCAAATTCCTGTGTTCTCAAGTATTCTGGGGAAAAATAAGTCTTGATATGCAACTAAAGCAAACCAATTATAAAATGTAAAATGACCCCAATTCTTATATCTATCCAACTGCTATCTACAAAGCCATGTGTGATAACTTTTATACTTAGTAATTTCTAAAAACATGCTAATGTGGGTGACATTTCCAACCCAGATGTTCCATTCTCCAGTCCACATTTTCAAATGCTGGATCTGCTCAAACTATCTCCAATTCAACAGAATCACAAATAGCCTAGATATCTGTGACACTTATCTAACAAATCAATGCAAGGTACTGTTAATAACAAACAGTCCATCAGCCTGGCACTTTGTGAACCAATAAATATCCAACAAAGAAACATCATTTATAATTAGCACATACGTTCTTTCCGGTGCTCAACCAAGCCAACAGCCTGCTTTGCTGAACATTTTGCAAACCAATTGTCCCCAAGTAAAACAGTGACTTCATTAGTATGGACGAGTTTTCCTGGCATGAAGGCAAAGGGGCCAAATGGTACCTATTGTTCCAAAAAAAAAAAAAAAGGTAAAAAAAAAAAAATTAAAAACACTAAAAACTGCATTTTATGAAACAGCATTAAAAGTTCTGTGTGGAAGTCTTTTTAAAAAAATCTCCTCACTAAGAGAAATAAAGTGTCAACTTCATGGACATTTAACATTATAATTTCACTAGGAAAACCTATAGAAAAAATTTAGGTTAATTTGTCAACATTAAAAGAAAAGAAATGAGCATATTTACAAAAATAGCTTTCAGAGAAATCAGCATTGCTTCCAAACATATTTATTTTTTGCTCAGTCATTAATCTAAATGAAAGCAAACTAGAAATAAAGTATTAATAAATTGACTAACTTTGATTTTTTTTAAACTGAAAATTATTTCTGAGAAAATAGTGTCTTTTGGGGGCAAAACAGGAATTAACAAATAAAGAGCTTTAAAAGGTTTACAAAATTTATGAAATATTTGAGCTGATATAATAAAGAACAATATATTTTCAAAACATCTGGTCTAACTTAATTAAGAACAGTCTTCATGAAAAAGAATATTCATGCAAAGAAAGAATCTAATTCAGGGCTCACAAATAGACTGATGTGTTGATATGAAGATCTGAATATTCAAAATAAATTAGCAGCACCTTTATATATAAAATCAGTGTTCTAGGGTTTAATTCTCCAAGATACATAACATTACGGTCTACTGCTGCTCTGGTTAACAGGAAATGACTACATGCCATATTTCTGTTGTAATTAGTTTGCTAACATAGTAAATTTGCATACCAAATATGTCAAATTTTATGCTAACATTTATGCCATTTATGTCATCATAACATAATATAAATCTAAAAAAGGAAAAGAATACCAACTATTACCACAATTAGTGCATTATTATAAAGAAAAAAAGAAACCTTCCTATGGTAGTTATCTCTGATCTAGTCCAGAGAGTCAACTTGTAAATCAATACACATTAAGCAAAGAAACACCTTTTTACTTTACATAGTTAACATCTTTACAAGAAACAATATTCTACTTTAAAAGAAACACATCAAACATACCATGATATTATAAGACAACTTATCAGGCAACGTACTGAGTCTTTCTTGAAGAGCATTATAGTCATTATCTACCTTCTTCCTGTTGAAAAAAAAATACCAAATACTAAATTAATACCCAAATTAATGATTCCTCAAGTAGGCTATGTCTCATAAGCTAATCAAAAACCTAATTTCAGCAATTTAAAGATTAAAGTGCTTTTTAATTTTAAAATCGTGTTTTTACAAAATTTAGCAACAGCAGTATTCCACCATACACTTATCAAAGAATTAAGACTCTCAGCTTTTAGATGTAGAACACACATATCTTGAGAATTATTGTTCCCTAAAGTAGAGGATCATCTGAACTAAAGAAAATTTGGAAATTAAGGGAGACAGTGACTTTGGAGGGAAATGGGTTCAAAATGAAGGAAGAAGAGAGCTGAGAAAAGCTTTTGAGAGAATAAACACTGGTTGTGAAACAGAAATCATCAACACAAAATCTGAGCAGATGCTTCAGTCCGTCCTCCTCAGAAAACTTTGGGTTGAAATATCTAGAGTCATCAACTCTTCAGTTATTCATACTAATGTTATTGAGGTGAGAGAGAATCAGTCAGGAGCTAGAAGAAATTAGGTAGAGGTACTATAAAAAGTATTACAATTGGGCTCTGGAGTTTATTTCATGTTATATCTCAACAGAGCTACCTGATAATTTCAAACCACCAAAAGATACAAATCTGCAGGAGCAGAAATGGTGACCTTTCCCACACTGTGAACCATACTCAGCTCTCACAGCTGCTGGAACTGAAGAGCCCTACACTGAACTTCTATCAAACCTTCTGTGGGTATGTGGTTTCCAAAGGGTTCCCTGCTAGGCTGCAGGCTGCAAGCAAAACCAGAGGACTTAAACTTTTTAAAGCAGAGGGATGGTTTTCTCAATTTAAAAAAAGTAACAAAAACAAAAACTCACCAATTCAACAAGTAATTTAAAAGAACATGTAGAAATTATCATATTAAAATTAGGATAAATTGCAGTATAATCACTCTCCAGGTAATAAAAGTGACTGTTCATGGAATTGGTTTCAGTTTACTCCTTAGCTCCCCTAAAGCAACAAACATAATTAATAAAAATCATCTCATTTAGTCTTAAAAATATCAAGGAATTTCACATATTTTAATTCATCATAAAAATATTCCTGCAGTAAGTGTCACATCAATATCTCCCTCTTACAAAAGAGAAAGCAGAAGAAAAATGGAAAAAAACACACATTTAAGAGAAATTAGATCCACTCTATTAAGGAGAGGTAGCAGTGACCTTAACCGAGGTCTTCTGGCCAGTATCCTTTCAAGCAAGCCTTTTCATTTTCTAATGTTCATGTGTTTTTTTAAAAACTTTCCTCTCAAATCCCTTTTTATAAATAAACATAAAATGTCTTTATTTGTTTAAGGCAAAAGTCATCTTTCTGGATACACTTTTATATTAATAAAATGGTAGGAAATTTCAGGAACAGGCCTATATACCAGAAAGAACATGGCTTTAAAGTCAGAGCAGAGCATCAATCCCAGCTCCACCATTTAACAAATTAATCCTAGACTTAGTATCTTCAATGGTACAAAATTGAAATAATACCTATCTCATAGATTCAAAGCACTGAACACCTAAATATACTGAGCCTTCAATGACCCTGTTCCCATGAAGTTTCAAAAATACCAATTCTAAAATTTGAAAGAAAGACTGTATTACCCACTAAGATAATTCCACTGTGTAAAATTCATTCCATTTGATACAAATAGCACAACTTACTTAAAGACAGTATAACTAAACCTAACAACTCAGGAAGCTTTTAGAAACAGGATTGCTGTGAGCAATAAATGGGACAGTTTGGAAGAACTGAAGTGACACAATGCCTGCACACTGTGAACTCATTAAATCTATTATTTATAAATACTAGCAGTTTTACATAAGTAATTTGGCAAATGCTTAGATGACTAATGTTAGTTACTAAGTTGTGTCCAACTCTTTGCAACTGCATGGACTATACAGCCCACCAGGCTGCTCTGTCCATGGGATTTCCCAAGCAAGAATACTCAAGTGGGTGGCCATTTCCTTCTACAGGGGACCTCCCCATCCAGAGATCAAATCCAGGTCTCCTGCACTGCAGCCAGATTCTTTACCATCTGAGCCGCCAGGGAAGCCCTAAATGTTCCTACAGTTGTTAAAAAGCTAATATTGAAGTTAGCATTCAATATGTACTATTTTAGTAAACACACCTGAAAAGGGGGGCAGATTTCTAACAAAACATCTCTTTTATATATTAAAAGAACAGAAGATTGTCAATCAAAGACACTATTAAGAGGTCAATGTCAGTATTCTAAAGTATATTCAGTTTTAAACTAAATCAATAATTCTCTCTACAAGAAAAAAACTGTGGCCATATTGGAGAACAGTTTAAGATCAGAGTTGTTACTTCTAAATTTTGAATTGTTTTCTAAAAATACAAAAAGAAAGGAGAAGATAATTTTAAAAACAGCTCATGCAGAAATCCTTTTTGAAGGGAGGCAAGTAGAGTCAAACAGTGCCACTGGAAGAGATTACGGCTTGAGGAACTCTCTCCCTGAAATTCCCACTAGAGGAAATATTCAGGATTAAGTGCCTAGTCAAACAGTTATCTCCAAATAGTCACTCCTCTAATACTTCAGGCTTAAAAAAATCCCATAAAAGATCACAAAGCCTATACAGCAGAAAACACAAAATGACTCTAAGATCTAATGTGTTACGGAAGGTATCTGTGTACCAAAATCTAAATAAACTTTTTCTATTTTAACACTCAGAAATATATAACTAAATTTTTGGAGATTGTAAAATATGTAGTCAAAGAAGCCAACTGCTTAAAATAACTTTTTTTCAGATGAAAATAAAATCCAGATGTAGTTAGGATAAATCTCTCAAGCCTACTTATTTATTCTGTTACTAGATAAGACTTCCTTGTTTGGTTTCACCATATCTGATCCTTATAGTAGATTAGGTTCAACCTTCAATTCTTAAAAGAATTACCCAATAAATAAGATTTAATTTGCATCAAACATCTTCATACAATGTTACTTAGAGAAAATAAGTACTAAAGCACTGTTATATGGCATAGAAGAAACTTTTATAATCTTCTTTTAAATCTTGCTCATCAGCCTTCTGAGACACACCTAAGGTTTTTATTAAAAAGCAGCAGCAAAAAAGGACATAACTACAAACTAGTCTTAACCTTAAGGATGAAGATCAGGACAGATCTCATGAGAAATATCTTACTTTCATAAGGCTGTAAAAAGTATGAGAGCGCAAGTTAAATTAACATGTATGTTCAAGTATTTACAGGTGAAGTATGCAGATGTCCACAATTTACTTTGAAACGCATCATAAAAAATGGACAGGGTTGAGATATGGATAGCTATGTGATCAAGGTTCATCTATATAATTCTTTCAATTTTTCTGTATGTTTGAAGATTTCCATAATAGAATATTAAAAAGGAGATGGGAGAAGTATGAAGAAAACTCTTTAACCCTCTTCTTAAATGCATGATAAAAAAGAAAACCTTTGTAAAGCAAAAGAAAAAAGTTCTACATCCCATGTTTGAGGCAAGTGAGTAAAGACTCCAATCTCCAGCTTTCAACAGGAAAAACAGAAAATAAAACAATTCACTGAAACAAGATTTGTTCATTTTTCTCTTTAAAGTATGAAGTTGTAATAGGCAGAAAGTATTGACATTAAACCCATTTAAAAAGAAAAAAACCTCCTATCATTCTCTTTACCTACTATCCTAAACAAAAAAGGAGAAAACACCAAGAGATGCTTAAAGGGGAAAAAAGGAAAGGGCTTTTACACTAATGCTAATATCTAGGTTGATCTGGGGTAGAATTAATTCTTTTCTTGTTTGTTAATTTAAGAAATTACAAAACCCAAAGATTTTGGAATATATATACAATTTTCTTTAGAAATGATTCTTAGTCCATCATACCCACTCTGGAATGTCCTATTAAGCATCCAAGAAACCTTTGCTTCAATTCAATTCACCATTTATTGAGCGCCTGCTCTGCAACCAAGCCTTATGCCATATGCTGCAGGGATCATCACTCAAATATAACATGTCTTTTTTCCTTTTTTTTTTTGCAATGCTTCTGTTAAAGATCTGCTGGCTTGATGGATGCCTGGGTTTTTAACCTCAAAAATTAAGAAAACAGAGGAATGCTGAGTTCAGGCATGGTAAAGAGAGAAATTTTCTCATTTCTAAAGAATGGGATGACTAATCTTTTTAAAGTATCCTCTTAAACAGCATAAACAAATTATCAAGGTTATACTAAGCAATAAAAACATTCTTGAAAGGAGACATTTTGTGCCTTCTGTAATTGATGAGAAGTACACTTTTAACCATTTAAAAGTATCTGTACTAAATCAATAGCATTTTTTTTAAATGGTCATGGTAAAACAAATTACTAGTTAAGATAAATGATACCTACTACAAAATTAAGGCAATATGGTCACATATTCCTTTATCTCAACTCATACCTAGGAGACATATCAGAAGATGCTGATGAAATAATCCATGTTCTTTATATTTTATGAGTCCATGAGAAAACTTTATTTTTAGAAATAAATGAACCTAAATATAAAAACTTAATAATTTTTCAGAAGTTTAATGAAACAAAGTTATCTAAGAGACAGATGCATCTAACATTCTACTGCTGCTGCTGGTTAGTCGCTCAGTCTTGTCTGACTCTTGCAACCCCATGGACTGCAGCCCGCCAGGCTCCTCTGTCCATGAGGATTCTCCAAGGCAAGAATCCTGGAGTGGATTGCCAGGCCCTCCTCCAGGGGATCGTCCCAACCCAGAGTTTGAACCCAGGTCTCCTGCACTGCAGGCCGATTCTTTACCATCTGAGCCACCAAGGAAGTCTTAACCTTCTACTAAATTTCTTCAATTTAAGTTTTCAGCAATGAGACAAGAGAGTACAATGAATATACACAGCAAAGGTGGGACAGGGGAATTTGTTTGTGCCCCCATACCAATAACCTAGAGAAGGCAATGGCAACCTACTCCAGTACTCTTGCCTGG